CCCTAGCATTTGCAGCTCTTTCTTCTAAAGCAACCATTCTGTCCCACTACTCAGGCTAAGTGAGTACATTTGTAGGAACTTCCAAGCCCACACTACCTGAGAAATAGCCCACATGCAGAGGTACAGGACCCTGAGAGAGGCTTTACTTGAACATGACCCACTCTGCAGCAGGAAGTGGCCTCCTCTGCCTACCTGGGAAGTGTGAGTGGAGTGCTGCTTATACAGCAACTGCAGGCCTGGGATTGGCCCTACTTGGAGCCTGCTGATTGGTCCAAACTGGCCTGAATTTATACCTTCTAGTCTGAGCACTCTGATTGGAAGGACATAGTTCATCAAATTCAATTCACATGCTTAGTCTAAACTTGAGCCTGCTGGGGTGAGGGCACACACCTTCAGGACTAGGGACGGGGTGTCCAGGACCACAGCAGCTGTCACAGCAGAGGTCCATGGAACACTGCCTGACACTGTGTATTTGACAGGGTCACACCTCCGTGAAGAATGTCAGGGACCGACCAGGGGAACTTGAGGAGGGCTACCTGAGTTAATCACAGCCTCCCGGGGCTGAGAGAGGTCGGATGTTGATGCGGGCCCCAGTGGCTCCCTGCTCTCCGCCCCTTCTCCCAAGAGGGGCCACAGACTGCAAGGTCTGAGGGGGAGGGGGCCGACAGCAGAGCTGCACCTCTGCTCAGAGCTGCTGCAGCTGGGGAGGGAGGACACTGAAGGACGCTAAGGCCCGGTGTCCCAGTCCGTCCTTGCAGGGAGGAGGACGCCGAGGAGGGGCGAAGGGAAGTGTGGGGCAGGGAAGTGACAGCCTCCGCCAGACCACCCCCTCCTGGGGTGGACACGGGGCAAGGGGAGAGCGGGGCGCTGCTTGTCCCTCTCCTCAGAGACCCGCGAGGAAGGGCCAAGACAGTGAAGAAGACAGACTCAGGGCTTGCAGAGACGCCTTTATTGTGTATGGAGGACGCGGGGTGGGCGCGGCCAGCTGGGCCTCGGTCCTAGTGGCTGGCTATGGTCTGGAAGAAAGCAGGAGGAGGGCGCAGAGAGAGTAGTTAGCAGCGCGGGTTCCAGAGCCAGGTGGAACTGGGCTCAGCTCCCAGCTCTGTCGCCCCATCAGCTGTGTGGCCCTAGGAGGACCCTGGGCCTCTCTGAGCCTTAGTGTCCTACTAGTAGGATAATAATAGAGTTTTCCTCGTGGGGCTCATGATGAGACTGTTACCTCAGGTTCTCACCGCAGGGCCCAGGGCCACTTCTGTTTGGTTTCTGGGGTAGCCAGGGCAGCGCCACCCCTGAGCTATGTCCCCAACCAGCTTTTTTCTACTTCTTTATTTTTGGATTTTCAGCACTGCAGACTGAACACCAAGGGCCTTTGCAGTTAGCGCCTTCCCCGGCCCCCACTTTGTTTTACAAGTTTTGAGACAGGGGTCCCATTCAGTTGCTAAGTTGCCCAGGCTGGCCTGAAACTTATGATCCTCCTGCCTCAGCCTCCCAGTGTGCTGGGAGTGTAGGCGTGGCCCACCATGCCCAGCTCTGGCACAGACTGAAGGGGTCTGTAAAGTGTAGCCATCACTGTTGTCATGAGCAATCTTAATGGTCTTGGACTGGCTGTCCCAGGGAGGAAGGAGTTCTGCACTGTCACTGTGGCCTGAGTGTTACTATCGCCAATGTCGCCATCTCTCAGGGTTCTCCTCTGTCCCCCAGCAGGAGGCCCCGTGTGTGCGTGAGGAGGGAGCCCTGGAGCACAGGAGCCTCTTTGGAAACCCTAAGGACTGAGGAAGCTCAGCAGCCGGGCTCACAGCTCCGCCCAGAAGCCGTGCAGGTCCTCGGGGCCAGCAGAAAACACCTGCCCCTCTGGCGCAGCTCCAGGCACCCTGCTGTGCCTGCAGGAGCCTCTGCTCCCTGGGTCCGGGTCCCTCCCTCAACCCCCTGAGCTCACCTCCTCGATCCAGTCAATGAAGGCCGAGACTCTCGTGAACACTGTGGGCTTCTTGAGCGTGTTGCAGCCCAGTGACGAGACAAAGCTGGTCACGCCGTGCACCTGCCATTTGCCCTCGTCGGTGGGACAGTTGAGGGGTCCCCCAGAGTCACCCTGGAACCACCAGACAGGGTGGGTCTCAGCTGCAGTTTGGCCCTGAGCGCACTGAGATTGAAGTTGAGGAATCTCTGGGCATTTGGGAGCGCATTTGTGATGGAGCAAGGAAAGAACGCCCCCTCAGAGATTTTGTGGGGGTTACAGGAGGGGACAGTGGACACTAACCCCTAACAGGGAGGAAGCGCTCAAGAAATGGCAGCTCTGGTTCGTAGAGCCACAGTGAATTACCAATATCACTGTTCATACTCATAGTTTAGTTAGAATATTCTGTTTTGTTTTGTTTTGTTGTTGTTGTTGTTGTTTTGTCTTTTTGAGACAGGTCTCTCTATGCAGTTCAGGCTGGCCTGGAGCTCACTTTGTAGCCCAGGCTGGTCTCAAACTTGCAACGATCCTCCTGCCTCAGCCTCCCGTGTGCTGGAATTACAGGAGTGCACCACCACGCCGGGCTAAGTATTCTGAACTCTTTCTTTCTTTCTTTCTTTCTTTCTTTCTTTCTTTCTTTCTTTCTTTCTTTCTTTCTTTCTTTCTTTCTTTCTTTCTGCAGTGTTGGGGATTAAACCCCTGCAGTAGACTAGTACTCTAACCCTGAGCTACATCCTGAATCTTCTAAATGGTTTTTTTTTTTTTTGTTTTTTTGTGTGTTTTTGAGACAGAGTCTCCCTGTGTAGTCTGGCTAGCCCCAGCCTCTTTATGTAGCCCCAGCTGGCCTCAAACTCGCAGTGATTTCCTGCTTCAGCCTTCCAGTGCTGGGATTACAGGCCTGCACCACCAGGCCAGGCTTGAATGTTTAATTATAGTTTCAGAACCACGGAGGTGGTGTGACTTAGAGGTCAGAGGACAGTGTCCCTTGTTATGTAGATGGAGACCCTTGAGGCCCAGGGAGGGACAGAGACCTGTCCCAGTCAGGGTGGCTTGTGAGCAGGATCTGGAATCCAGGTCCTGTCTACCGGACCTGGGCTCTGCGCTGACTCCCCCATGTCCTGCCTGGCCTGCGGCAGGGGACGCAAGGATGGGGCGAACTCACATTGCAGCCAGACTGGATGTCACCGCCAGCGCACACCATGGTCCTCCTCACAGAGATGCCCCACCAGTCCCACCGGGAGCAGTGCTCATGGTCCACCGCAGGCAGCAGGGCCTGCTGCAACTTGTCCGGGAGGGGCCCATTGGCTGCGGGGACAGAGAACGGTGAGTGGGGAACTGGGCCAGGAGCTCCACGGTGGGACATGCAGAGCCCACCGCACTTCTGGCACAGAGGTGCCATGTGTTCCTGCAGGCTTTATCCACCATACACCAGACCTTGTGTGGCCTTCCACCCACAGCCCAGGCTTGGCTTTTGGTCACTGTCCCTGAGGCCACTAGAGGGGTCTGCACGTACTGTAGAGGCGGCCCCAGCCGCTGATGTAGCAGGGCGCCCCGTTGGGCAGGATGTCATCAGCAGGAGGGAGGGTGGCAAGCTGGACGGTGTTCCCCAGCTGGGCACTGCGCGAGAGCTTGACCAGGGCGATGTCATTGCTGGGGAGGGGAAGAGGCACATGGGGCCTGGGCCTCCACCGGGCCAGTTCCCACATCCTGGTCTGAGATCAGGCTGATGTGGATCAGGCTCCCCACCATGAACACTGAGAACTTTTTTTCTGAGGCTGGGGCTCGAACCCAGGGTCATCGCAATGAACTACATGCCCAGCCCTTTTCTCTTTATAGTACTTTTTCTTTTGAGACAGAGTCTCAACAAATTATTAAGTTGGACCAAGGATATATCTCAGTGGTACAAGTGCCTGCCTGGTAAGTCCAAGGTCCTGAATTTGATTCCCAGTATCTAAAAAATAAAAAAATCAAAAAAGTTACTAAGTTGCCAGGGCTAGACTCAAACTTCCACCCTCCTGCCTCAGCCTCCCTTAGCGCTGGGATCACAGGCCTGGGCCACAATCCCTAGCTTGGCCAAGTGGCTCTGAGAATCTCCCTACCACTACGGCCCACGTTGACCCTTGGCCCTCATAATAAAGAATTCCCTCACATGCCCAATTGTCCAAGTGAGAACCACTTGGAGAGCTCAGCCACAGCAATTGCTGGGCCCCCGCTCAGCCTTGCCAAGGCCACGGCTCTGGGCGAAGCCCGAGAATCCATATTTCTTATGGGTTCCCAGGGTTGCTGGGATGCTGCTGACCCAGGGCCTCACTTTGAGAAGCAGAACTCTCTGTCTTCATCTGCCTGCTCATCACTGGGGTCTGACCTGTCTCTGCTCACCCCAGGAGCCCCGGATGGGCCAGGGCGTCACTCAGCACGGCTCCTCACGCCTACACTGCGGGTTCAGGGCTGCACCCTCCTCTATCTTCTCACCAGAGAAACCGCACCACCCACACATACAATTCTGCCCGCATTTGAGGGCTTAGGACGGACCCCTTCACCCTCACAGCACCCCGGACGCCTGCTTCATGGTCACCCTGTGATAAATGGCAAAACTGCCACCCCGAAAAGGTAACTTGCATAGTGGGCTCTCTGTCCAGGGTTCTTTCACTGGCCCGTGGGGGCTGGACCAGAAGGCTCAGGCTGCATATCTGTCCCAGTGGGGACCGTTGGGTTTGCAGGAGGGCAGGGAGTCCTGGGTTCTGGGGAGTGACTGCCCCTCCCTGCGCCCCGCTGTTCCCAGTGCAGGGAGAGAGGTCAGGTGTTGATGCTTCTTCGAGGCTCTGCCGGCTCAAGCCTCAGTGGGTGTGTACTGTGTGTCCAGGGATCAGAGAGGAGCCCCGGGGGCTGGTCCGGGACCCCACTCACCCGCAGGCCACACAGTAGCTTCTCCAGCTCGGGTGTACGAAGAGGTCACCAGGATTGACGGGGATCACCTGCTCAGGGCCCTCCTGCACGGCCCGGTCATACTCGCCCAGCACCACCTGGTAGGTCCGGGAGTTCCTGCAGGTGGAAGGCAGGTGCGTCCGGGCCTGTGGCCAGCCTCCCTCCTCTCCCACGGTCACCCACTGCCCCAGCTGCCCGGGTCTCACGCACGGACAACAGCTGGGAGAGCCCAGCACAGCTGACAGAACTCACGAGATGCAGTGGGCTGCAGTCACGACCCAGTCGGGGGCGATGAGGCTGCCGCCACAGGTGTGGTAGAAGGCCCCATCC